TTTCCACTCTCCCTTTCCACCATGACATTGGCAGAAACCGCACAGCTCCAGCCATCGTGCCCACCGCCTTCAAGAATTACAGTTACTCTCCCACTCGTCGTAGATAAGTTTCGGATCGTGACAAAGACAAAATATTGTAGAGATCTTCCTCTGAGGGATGTCAGATCAGCGCTGTTACGATAATAACTAGGTGCATGGTCAGATCTACTCATGTTGTAATCAACGAAAACATTGTCGCTCCCAACGGCTGGCTTTGACGCCTTTTTTTGCAGGACGCCAAAGTGCCCAAAGCGCACTCAATCGACTTCTACGTGCCGATATTTTCGATGTTCCAATTCTTTTTCTATGTTGGATGGCTCAAAGTGGCTGAATCAATTATCTGCTCTTTTGGAGAAGACGATGACGACTTTGATCTGAACTGTAACTGCTTGATTTCTTGCATTGGATCAGAAGGTGTGACGACGGTTGCGTTTCAGGGATAGTCGACCAAAATCTTCAAGTAAGTCTCTTGATCGTTGATGGCCTACATGGCGGTCAGCCCCTCTCACACAAGATCTCTTCTGGGATTCCATCAGCGCCGAACTACCGTATACCCAGGGAGCGTCGTAACTGCGGAAAAGTGGCAGGAGAGTGAAGAATTTAGGGAGATGGAGGATGGAAGGAGAAGTGGGGTGGGGGCGTGTCGTATCAAGAGAAATTTTTTGGGGGGAGGGGGGATCGTACCTTGCAAAATCTTTCTTTAACGGCAAGATGTGCCCCCGTTAGGAAACCCACTCACTGCGAAATAGATAATCTGGCACCGATGATCACTAGGAATACGATTAGAGCCTCCCAGCCCAGAATTTTAGTTTCTAATTTTTCTACCTTCACCTGAATTATTATAAGACTCAATTAGAAAGGATAAAGAAGAGGCGGTGGTGGTGTAGTGACAAGTGGCGCGCTTACCACTCGCGGGCCTGGGTTCGAATTCCAGGTCGACACCTGCCCAGGCCAACCAAGCCTTCTACCCTCCGGGGACGGTAAATTGGTACCAGATTCGTCTGGGAGGATAAAACACTGACTTATACATCGGCTGGCCCCCCCCCCCAAGTCATTGTATAGGCCACATCGCATTCAATAAGCCACTACGATTCTGAATGGAAGTAGAATGCGTGCCGCATCCCACAAAGGGATTGATTAACGGCGAAGACTTTATCCTAAGCTCATGACCTACTTACCGAAATTTGATGGGTTATACACCGTTAGACTCGCCACGCAGAGACCAATCTGAATATATCTCTTGCTTCTCCCATCATACTTTTTGAAAGGAGTTATGACAGTGCGGCGCTTTGGGGAGCTTTGCTCTGCGGCGGATTAATCCGCCTTTTTTCCAAAAATTAGGAGCGGTATTGTATATATTCGTCTCGTAAAAAATTGGCCTGCGTATATCCAGCAGTGAAACATAAACAACGCAAAAACAGTTTGTCAGTCAGTTATTTTCAACTTCACAATCATTTGAACGTTTATCAAACTCTCCAAGTCCAGAGAATGGGCACTCGAAATTAGGCTAGCTTGAAATGCCTTATAACGTTGCCGGGAGTACGGTCGCAGGTCCCGCAACGAAGCCGGGTACTGTAGTTTTTCGAAAAATTCCGGTCCTACACTTAGTGGCTTATGCCCGTGCCGGCCTCCAGTGACCGTGTCGTTGTGAGAATGCCATTGCGCTCTCTCGCCCGTCGTTTTCTGGGCTCTCTCTCGTCTCTTAACAGTGTATTGCCGCCTTTCGCAGTTCACAATTGATCTTGACCACCTTACGCTCGTCCGGTAATCGATCAATTGCAATGAAGAGAGTCCTATTCCGGGCGCTTTTTCGTGCTTCCTTCTCCTTCAATAAGTCAACAAACCCACGGCAGTTCTATTTTTGAACCGTATTACATGTGGGCTGTGGTCGCGAGAATTGCCTTCAAGCAACATTCCATGGGATCGAGTCCTCATGAAGCCTAATCTTTTTGCATCTTTCAGGAACGAAATGTTCCTGCGAGTTTCAAAAAAATTGATCATCCGTTCCTTTACGTGGTGCCACCGGGAAGTGCTCGCTTCTGCGAGCTGAGCTAATCGGAACCTGCAAACGCACGTGACAGGCTTTTGTGACGGGCCGACCCATGAACACACAAGTCACATCACTCATGTCTAACAATGCCAGAAGTTTTCGGAATGAACGCGAACGAAAGTTGGTTACAGTTGTCATGATGGTTTCGTTTGTGGAACAGGTAATGTCGATGGCGAACACATCCTGGAGTATGCAGAAGCCCATAACGTCGCCTCGTGGCACAGTGTTCCGTACGTGAATCTCACTTGATCGCCCTCTACAGCGGAAGTTGCAGAACACAAATTGATTTTGTTCTCGTCAGGCATCGCGATCAAGGGCGACGCGAAAGTCGTGTCGTATGAGATAGTCGCCATGCAGCGCGAAGTCCGCTGAATTGCACGCTGAAGATCACATCGCCTATGTTGAAAGGGGCCGGGCGATTCGACCCAGTGCACAGCGGTTCCGATCTGGAGGATAATTTGAGCAGCCTTGCAGGCTGCTCAATTTATCGTTCTATTCGCCTGCTCTCGCAGAGCAAGAAAATTTTCGAGCGAATGGTTGACAATCTTATCAGTGATATCGTCCAGGTGGCTTCGTGACCGCCTGTGGCATCACAGATGCCATGCACGCCGCTAGCCTCATGCTGGAGAAACATCGTGAGAAACAGAAGCATGGCCATGTAGTATTCCTAGACTTGGAGAAGGCATTCAGTCGTTTCCCGCTTGAAATTATTTGGTACGCCTTACGATAGCACGGCGCTCCCGAGGAAGTGATTGAGTGGTGCCATTCTGTGTTCCAGCCCAACGAATCGCGTGCGAACGTCAGCCGACTTTTCAATGACATTCCCCATCACTGTGGGGACGCACCAGGGCTTTGCGCTTTCCTCGCTCATCTTCGTTGTTGTCATGGAAACCATTTCACTAGACCTTCAAATGCCAACTCCTTGAACGCTTCTCTATGCTGATAGGTGATGTTCACCCGTGAGGATAAGAACGGTCTTGAGCAACAGGTGCAAGTTTGGTCTCAGCGTTTGGCGAACTTGGGACTCAGACTGAACATCAAGAACATGGTGGAACTCTTGCGATCGAGGAAATGAGCGAGGCTCGCCGTCGATGATCATATACTGCACGCGAATTCTGACGCCGTCTGTAAGACTGGCCCTGAGTTCAAAGGGCCCGGAATGCAGCCTAAACGACGCTCCAAGCAACGCAAGGGGCATCCTTGAGGTCGCACGTTGCATACGGACTTGAACATAGTTGGCATTCATCCCGCCCAGGCATACAGTACGAGGAGAAGTGGCGTCATATAATGAGAAGATCGGACCCCGTCACAGAGAGAGAGACAAACGCTGAAGGGAAGAAGGAGAGTAAGAACAAGAAGAAGAAGAAGAAGTAACATAGCAAAATGTGGTTTAGTAATCATTACTACTTTAGTGCTCACTCAAACTTGCCTAAAAATTGCGTGCAGTTACTACTGCGACTGTACGCTTCGCGACCCAGAGCAAGTTTTTGGCATACAGGTGCCCGTGGCGCACGATACAGGCGTTTTAGTGCTAAGCATGTGTCATATTCATCTGAAGCGGGCCAAAGAAGCCCTAGGTACAAGTTTCTAGCCAAATCTGGCATTTTGCTCTGATTTTGACCCGAAATGTGGAGCACCCATGGCGTGCAGTTCAAGTCATGTTCAGCTATTCCACTAGAGATACATCCTAATGTGGAAAGACCATCCTGCATTTTTGATGAATTCATTCTGTTACTGCTTCAGTTTTCCTGATATCTATAAGTCCGTCCGACGGCAAGCAATTCATGACAGGCTGGCCGTAAAACCACTGGTGACCGTCATTCCACCAAATGCTGTCTCATTCTTTCGACCTTGACTCGAAACCTTCAATTTGGCTAGAAATCTGCCTCAGGAGTAGTTCCACTCCCGAACACGAACATGATACCTGTTTGGCGCCCAAATGCTTGTGGCACGCGCTACGGATACATGAACGCAAATGATTTTTTGTAGGACGCATGCGCCGACTCCCGTCGGATTACTTAGGTTATCGATTGGATTCGTGATTGCGATCATACCAGCGTTTGAAGGTGACTTCCAGGCCCAAAAAATTACTCATGAAATGCAAAAGCTTGCCTCCCACAAAACCCGAGCCTTCATCTCACGCCTGTAAGGCTTTATGTGCTTTGCGGTTATTCTTGCAAATTGTCTGGCAATCGCGCTTGAGTCCCCTGGAACGAGCTTTCATAACTCCGTTCAGAGAATCGTGTGCAACGTTCGAAGGCAGAATTGAAACAGCGTCGAAAAACACGTCCCTGATCTTTGTCGCATTACAAATCGCCACTTCGACCTTGCAACCATCCCTAGTAAGTAGCTTGGTATAAGCTGCAATGGTTGTGCCACTTGCGGGCTAGGGAGTGACCCGCTCAGACTCTGACTAGCTCTAGCAACGCCACCAATCTGGAGCAGCGACGCCACCCAGACATCAACAGCGTTAAGTTCGATTATGTTGGACCGCTATTGCATCGGTATAGGACATTGCTCGTTTCGCTATTCCCCCCTATTGTGTGCCGCTTCTTCGGATACTTGTCCATGCTGGAAAAATGAGCTGGAAAGGGGAAGGCCGTAGTGCGTTTTCGACTATTTCGCCTTTTTTTTGCCGAATTTTTGACCTCACTGACGATTCATTCAGCATTTACACGACCACGTTTAGACACCATTACCGCCGAATATATACCATTTTCACTTTAAATCGGACACTTTTCGAACCAAAACGGACACTTTTCAAACCAAAACGGACACTTTTCAAATCAAAACGGACACTTTTCAAACCAAATCGGACACACCCCTTGCAATGGGCAATTGATAACTAGAACACAATAGGTACTGCTGCAAGCCCCGTCCCAACACCCCCCCCCCGCCCACTTCTGAGCTAAAATTGTCCTCGATCAGCTAGAAACACATCGGTCCGATCATCGGACACAAATGCTATTCAAGGCTAATTGTTGTTAGAGAACTCGTATGGCCGCAGAAAATTTATACCTTAGCTCTTGGTCTGGACATTAGAACAGCAATCTAGGTGGAGTGAAGGACAGAGTGGATCATGACCCCGGATGAGGTGAACCAAATCTCACGATACGCGAAAAGCAATTTTGCACAAAGCATTCGATTTGCCTTCATTGGATCTCTGAAGCAAGAACTAATCCAGAATGCGCTTCAGTGCCTTTATTTTCCTACACCATATGTCTGAATCGAAACGGAGGCTGTGCCCGTTATCGTCATTTGCAACGGAGCTGAGAATTATGAAATTATGTGCGTAAGTCGTACATTAGTGTAGAAATAGCAAAAGAAACTGTTATAAATGCACAAAGAAGAACCCTGTTGGTTCCGAGCATTGTGTGACAATACGGCGCAGAGAGACTGAGTGTAGAAAGAAGAAGCAGACTGTGCTCTGGCTAGAGAATATACAATGACCTGGGGCCTCACGGCTATGTAGCGAGTGGTGGGAGGGATAAAGGTGGATCGAGCTCACGGAGGCGGATCTAACGTATCGTTGCTGAGCCGTGGCCGCATTTTATAGGTCTTTTTTAGGACGCGGATTAGGGGACATGCTTTGCGGTCGGAATTGCGCCGTGTGCTTCTTTCTGCAGCGTCGGATAATCGCACACGCTCTCTTTGAAACTTTCCGTTTCTATTGCCCTTTTTGAATTTACTCAGATCCTTGAAAGAGGGACATTTATCGCGCATCCCTTAAAAGCGCAATCCAGAGTGAGGGCATCGACTATGACTAGAGATGAGAATTGCTGCAGGTCAGTACTCCTGCTGGTAGACAGGCTGTCCTCTGTGGAGCACTGGTCATGATTTCCCGCCTTGTTGCACTTTACAGATGAACTTTGGCGAAGTAGAAAAAGTCATTTGGTCTCCGATGCTGACAAGGATGACGCTGCAAGTGAAGGCTAACCTCACGGAGAAGTTTTCATTGACGGAATATTTTGGAAGCGTGCTGGTCAAGACCGATGGTGACGTGAGCTCGAGAAACATGTCTGGATATACACAATCAAACATGCTTCGCGCACTACCTAGGTACAGACAAGTAATGCCGGCCTCTGGCGACCATGGCAAACCGTTTCACTTGAATTAGAACCGCACAGCAAAAGAATCTGCTACGAGAGTTAGAGAAGAAGCACTTATACAAATGAGTGCAAATACTTTTGCGAATATCCCATTTTCATTCAATTCAAGGAATCAAAGTGTGAAGCTCTAGCGGCTTTCTGCTTCCTTCTAGAAAAGAATGGTGGAGCCCATCGAGCAAAGTAGGGCTTGGAGTACTTGTAACGGCGATGTAATGGGCGATGGTCTTCGGTACACAAAATGACGTTGGAAATCTAGCGCTCCCACTCACGCCGCCATTCGACGGTGGCGATACGGGCTGAATACGGAACACAACGTAATCAAAGTTTCTAGGGTGTCGAAATCATGGATTGCCAAATTTCTACGCGACTGTAGTCTGTGCTTAAGGAAAGTGACGCACTTTGTCACAACACGTATTTGTAATAGAAAGGACGTGGAAGGGTAGGCAAGCAATTTTGTGAGAGGGAGAAAATGGAAAGATATCCCTTTTCCGCATTTGCCAACACAGATCAGACTGGAAGGAACAAAGAAATAGCTTCGAAAGCACCGAGAGCAATGCTCTATGTATTCACATGTTTTCTGTTGCAGGACATAGCTCCCTCTGGCTCCAAACAAGTGATGAGAGAGGTGCAGTCACTTTGTCACTTACGCATTCCTTCATGTTTCTGCCCTCCTCTATGCCCGTTACGTGACGGGCTTCTCGACAATTTTCCCGAGAGAAAGGAGTCTTCTTGCACAGGTGAAACTGACAAGCAAGCAATCAGTAATGGCTAGGAAGTCGCAAATCTTCGTCAATGACATTCGTCATTGGCAGAGATGCCTCAATAGAAAGAGCACCGGTCAATGACAAGTCCTACTGGAGCAACTGCCCTTTGCCAGCCACTGGATGCCTACTTCTTCGGTTCGTTCAAGCAATACATCCGTCGCATTTATGACTACCTAGTGCACTACCATCATAGCTCTGCGTACAGAAAAGACGGCATATCCGAAGTGAGATTTCTTTGGCAGTGTTGAACGGATATTCAAGTAATTCTTTCCCTGCAGATCACCACCCAGATGTATCGCTAATTGTGCAAACCCAGGATCAGTCCATCCTTACGCCTGGTTTGGCGTTGGGTATTTTGGTGAGCGTCCCGGACGTTCTCGACTCGGGTTGAAGAAGGATATTGTCGTCCCTTGCGAAGAAAATAATGACCGCTCTTCTTTGGCGCGTATAAGGTGCAGTTGATGCGATAGGTGTCTGGGTTTTACTTTCTTTGTTGAATTCTATGGTAATTAATAGTTATATGCTGCATGCTGAGGCGGAGGTGGTGGAGTGACAAGTGGCGCGCTTACCACTCGTACGGCGTTGGGTTCAAATCCCGGGTCGACTCCCGCCCAGGCCAACCAAGCCTTCTACCCTCCGGGGACGGTAAATTGGTACCAGATTCATCTGGGAGATAAAACACTGACTTGTACATCGGCTGGCCACCGCAAGTCATTGTATAGACCACATGCATTCAATAAGCCACTACGATTCTGAATGGGAGTAGAATGCGTGCCGCATCCCACAAAGGGATTGATCAACGGCGAAGACTTTGTCCTTTATCCTTTATGCTGCATGCTGATAAATCGGAACGTTCACATAACGAGGTGGGAATCGCGACATAAAGAAGGAGTCATGGGCAATACCTAGCCAACCTATTAGAAATTTGGACAGTCACAATTTTTTCGCAGCAGCCTCTTCTGTGGGGGTACTGGATTCTCTTATTTACGATTCTGACACCTGTTTTGACGCTGATGCCCTGACGTAATCACGTATCCGAAAGCCCATTTGCGCGAGCTGCGGTAATATCACTGATAAAAGGCTGCGGTACCAGATCAGTGAAAAATTGCGCTGGAGGTGAAATCGATTGCCTTGGTCATGATCAGAGCATCGGCTTCGCCAACAAATCTAACTTCCGTGAAGACTTCCTTCATGTTATTTTCAAACTGCTATTTTCAAAATTGTGAACTACTGACTTTAAACTAGTAATACTTCAAAGTGCAAAGAGACGTCTTAGAGTAACAAGTCCAATCTAATCCAAGTCTTTTCATGGTCGGCAGATCCGAATGCACGGAAACTGAGAACATGAAAAATGCAAAGACTTGTCAGCGCGAGTGCTCTAACCGTGCACTATCTCCATATCGTGCCGTCGAGACTCCACCACATTCATCACTATTCCATCCGATCGCAACTCAGCCGAGATACTCGGGATTGGAGGAATGTTGCGCCTCCTTCCATCAGTGGCCATGTGTAATGTCCCATTGGCGACTATGTTTCACGTCGTTTCTGGAACCTTTCTCATGTGCTGGCGGTGAATGATGCAAGCGATAGGCAGCGCATTGCAAGTGAAAAAACGCAGGGTCGAGAAACTGTTTTTTACTCGTTATTTAGTATTCCCAGGGCTGTGCAGGAAAAATGAATTCTTTTTCTGTGTATCATGCGATTACCTTTTGAAAGTGCAAAAAAAGGCTCTCAAAAAGCGCTACACTTCCTGAACGACCCCACCGGTAAGAGGTTGTTATCGAATAGATGCGAATGCTGGTGTCATGGCTATTCATATTTCTCTATTATCGTCGGGTAGATCCTTCACTTTCATGACCTTGAAATTCACGGCAATTCAACCGTTATCAAACTGAACAAGTTATCTACTAGAGCATGAAAATCTCAATAAAATTATATATCTATCATTGGCAGAACGGCTCTTCATCTACGTAAGGTTTCATGTTATAGATAGCTGTTTTTTATGGGGTGACTCAATTGTAGCACAGGGATGTGTTCCGACCACACAAAGACCAAAGTATTCAACCTGGATCTCCTAAGGTCTTCGAAAGCTTGGCCTTACACTTCGTTTTGTTTTATTTAACTTATGCTATCATGGTTGTTGTGATGAATTATGCAGAGTGTCGCACCGGATTCTTTTTCTACGTTGGGGTGATTTCCTTCAAGGGGACGGGGGGGGGGGAGGGGGAACGGGTTCGAGAATTGAGTAAGCTCCATACGTCACGCATACGACATGATACGCCAAGGACTGATACAGTTTCATTTTGCGTGGTCCGCGGCATAGTACAGTCTTGTTCGCTGCGGATGACGGGGCTTCTCGAAGGTATCAGTAATTCCCCATCTGTTGTTGTCCATTACCAACTTTAATAATTGTTGGAGAACGGGCTGGTGGAGCGCCAAGCCTAGCCTCAGTGTTAAGATTCACCATCCGCAGCAAACAAGACTGTAAGACATCTAATGGGCTAAGGTAGTCCCTATTACCAATGATCACGATCGGCGAGGAGTGCATCGAATTGTCCATCGTACACTTGCGCTATTGTTGGGTGTGGAGAGTTCACATAGAGTAAATTCGTTCTTTATGAGGTTCCAGTTATTGAAAATGACCAAAACAACTTAGATAGGTTGTTGGAAATAAATGACAAATCAATTCACTGTAGCGAGGGGGCTACAGGTGGAGGCCACGGCACATCCCATATTTCCCTGGACGGAGGATGAAGTCCACCGAGGTAGGAAGAATGAAGGTTGGGAAAGCAGTGGGTCCAGACGGGGTACCGATAGAGGCATGGAACGCTCTCCGAGAGAGGGGGGTAACTTGGTTCACTCACTTTCTGAACAACGTAATAACCAAAGGAAGAATGCTGGGTGTGTGGAGGGGTACAATCATCTCCTACTCAGAGAGAAAAAAAGAAGCAACGGAGTGCTCCAACTATCGCGGCACCAAGTTGACTCCCCATGTCATGAAGCCGTACGAGCAGCTGGTCAACACAAGTAAGGGAACTTGTCCCCAAGTAAGGGCGGGGGGAGGGGAAACTTGTTCCCTCGGCTTCATGCCCGAAGGTCCATTACTGATGCCATCTTCATCGCTAGATGATGAAGAGGTATCAAGGAGGTAAACATCACGGTTGGATCAGCCTTCAGCCCGTTCCTCTTAATCCTGACTTGGACTATGGACGTCATGGCAGAAGAACTCATAGAGGAGCTTAGGAGGATTACCTTCTACGCTGACAACATTTCCCTGATAGCAGATAGCAGGGAAGAACTTCAAGGCGCAGCGGTGGCTGCAGCGGTGGCAAGTTGTGCTCGCTGAAAATGGACTTCGGCTGAATGTGAAGAGGACCACATTCCTGAGCTCTGAAGAGTGCACCAAACTCGTCGCAGACCACCACGGCGGAAGCATCGAAACGGTTGAGATTTTCCAGTACCTGGGGAGCGATCTAACAGCTGTTCGTGGCATGGACCAGGCGGTAAAAGCTCCAATCGGTGTATCCTGGATGAAATCGAGTGAGTTCACAGGCATCTTCTGCGACCAGCGATGCTCGGAACGCTCAAGTGCAAGGTATATCGGTGGAGTCTAGCCTGCCATGCTCCATAGCAGTGAGTGCTGGCCCGTATGCAAGAAAAAGCAACTCCACTAAGCTAAAATGTTAATGCTGAGACTGCGGCTGGACACGACTAGACAGAATTAGAAACGAGGACGTCGCAGTCACACGAGCCCCGATCATGTTGAAGTTAAGAGAGCAGCGACTGCGATGGTATGGGCACATGCTGAAAAGGCCACCAACCACCCCCCCCCCCGTAAAGTAGGCGCTGGAATTCAATGTACAGGGCAAGCAATCACGAGAAGCCCCAAAGAAGAGGTGGAAGGGCGTCGCTAAGACGGAGCTCGCTGCAGTGAATGCCTCGGCAGGAAATGCAAAGGATCGAGGGCACCGATCGCGTTGTGATGAATTTCTGTCAATACACACCCCCCCCCACCGCCCTCCCAAGGCGACTCTCAATCGGCTCCCCTCAGTGTTCATGGCTA